TTTTATCGAGTTAGACTTTGATTCTACCACTATGTTGTTTAGTGTGGAATCACCTTATGACTGTTGAGGGTCATGACATAAAAAGATACATACATTTATAAATGTGCTACAATTTCCCCTTTTTATAAACAGATTTATTTTATGTGCATTTAAGATATATTAGAGCTCCCTATATATTATATTAAATATATCTGTTATGTTGTCATTGGGCCAATGAGAGAATGTTATACTTCTTTATTAATTTATCTCTGCCCCGTTATAAAGTAAAGCCCATAATATTTTTTAATAAAAAATAACATTTATTTGTCACATCATGATGGACGTACCAGATTATTCCTAGACTTTTATAAATGGATCCTCCATTCATTAGGGTTACACATATTCTCTACACTTTTCTATTACTAGTGATGGCTAGGAAAAGGAGGCAACCAAATTTTCAACTAACGCTCTCGCTAAGCTCTTCTCATCAGGTATGCTTTCTCTGAATTTTTTAGTGAGATTATCATTTTTAAGACCCTAATTTGTATATCGAATATATGTGATACTATGAACTTTGTGCTTGAAGTTTTGTAAACAAAAAAAAATCTAAAAGATTTAAGGAAAATATGGAGAAAACTATAAGACATCTTTGTAGATAAAAACACTAATGACAATTTTTTATACATTATATTGTCATTGGGCCAATGAGAGAATGTTATACATCTTTATTAATTTATCTGTGCCCCGTTATAAAGTAAAGCCCATAATTTTTTTTAAATAAAAAATAACATTTATATGTCACATTATGATGGACGTACCAGATTATTCCTAGACTTCTATAAATGGATCCTCCATTCATTAGGGTTACACATATTCTCTACACTTTTCATTACCAGTGACGGCTAGGACAAGGAGGCAACCAAATTTTCAACTAACGCTCTCACTAAGCTCTTCTCATCAGGTATGCTTTCTCTTAATTTTTTAGTGAGATTATCATTTTTAATACCCTAATTTGTATATCGAATATATGTGATACTATGAACTTTGTGCTTGAAGTTTTGTAAACAAAAGAAAATCTAAAAGATTTAAGGGAAATATGGAGAAAACTATAAGACATCTTTGTAGATAAAAACACTAATTACAATTTCTTTTACATTATATTGTTAAGATTATTCACTTTATTTCTAATCAAGCAAAGCTTTACAAGACTTCTTGAAAATAAATGTTTACTATTCTATAAACTTATGATAGATTCACCATTAATAGATCTAATCATACTCTTTATTTTTATCACATCATGCTACATAGGAAAAACCTAGCTGCCAATAATTTTATTCAAAATAATTAAATAATGACTTATAATAACTTATGTACCTTACTTACCCGCTTACTCTATCATTGAGTGAGTTATTAGAAATCGTGTTTATAAATAATAGCTATAGTTGTGTAGTTGTATTTAATCATTTGAAGTTTATATTTAGTTCCAAAATAACTTTCTTCATTCTCATGTCAATTATAAAGGTTAAACTATGGCGAAGGATCTTGATCAGAGGGAAATGATAGCTTCATTGAGGCGTGAAAAAGATTATCTATTGATGAGAATTGACATGTTAGAAGCAACTCACAAATTTGTGTGTGAAGCGAGGAAACTTGAAATTTGGTTCCTAAAGCATAAGCTTGATGAAATAGACAACACTGTGAAATTTTACAGTGGTGTACTTGGAGTACTGAAAAGGGAAAATATAGACCTAAAGTTGAAGCTTGAGGAAGAAAATCAGCTGATAAAGGCGTACGTCCTGCTTAATACAATGGGGATCGAGTTGCTGAAGAAGAAGAACGAGTTGGTGAAGATCCAGATTGAAGAATTGGAAGCTAAAGTTGCCGAATTGAGGATAAACGGAAGATCCAGGACAATGAGATTTCTCAGTCTTATTGACGAGAACAAACAAGTTAGTGCAGAATCTGTTGTAAACTTAGATTGATGTGCATGCGCATCTTGTTATTACTTCTTGAGGAATTTGGTTGACAGTTATTCCTAGTTCTTTTGTTGGACATATATTTTTATTCCTACCGTTTTTCAAATGTTGACTATTATTCTTGTTTTCCAATGGTTCCTAAATGATGGCATTGCTGGTATGCCTTTGATTTTATTTTTTATAAATTGCTTGAGTGCCTAACTTTTGGAAGAGATGGAAGTTTGGGCATGTAGACGACCTTATTGCCAGTTTTTGCTATTTATAGTGGGTGGCTTCTGGCCATAGTGGTTCCGAAATGGAGGGAGAATGACTTGTATTGTGACCTTGGATACCAGGGAAGCCTTCTATTGCAGCCATGTATCGCTTAGGGGTTCCCCATATATTATAGTAGTCATGATCAGTAGTTGGGATCTAGGATGAATCTATTGAAAAATGTTGACATGCTAGAAGCAACTCACAAAGTTACATTAGAAGCGAAGAACATTGAAAATTGGATCAAAGGTAGAACATACATGATTAGATAACATAAAATTGAAAAGATAGAGAAGCGATTCTCAAATTACACATCAACAACATTATTTGATTCAGTAAGGTAAAGCGACTGTTGCTCATCCGACAAACGCCTACAGTTGTTCCTGGTGGCCGAGAGCTGATATGGTGAACGATTGGTGCTAAGCCATTGATCCACATTGAACAATTGTTGGCTGCATTGTTTGTGGTCTCCTGTTGATGTGACTTCAACGTAGTTACAGTACCATTCATGATTTCTTCCTGTACCATCTGAAGTTAACACCATTTTGCAAATAGGGCCAGACAAGCATGGGCCTTTACCACTGAACATATCCCTGCTATCCCTTTCAAAGTAGTTGTAACCATTGCCCATTAGCCCACCCCAAGCCACTAGGTTGTTGATTCTAATTCCAGATCCACTTGCATCATACAGAGTTAAGATAATTTTTGAGTCAGTTGCATCCTCTACGAATGGCCCAGTACGGACATAAGCTGTATATATACAATTTGATTCCTGCATTCATCATCAATTTCCTACCAAATCAGCTTATGCAAAATATATCTGCATACTCCCTCTATCCTAATTTATATGACATATTTCTTTAACGAGTTTAAAAAAGAAACAATGTATTTCTTTATTTATCAAATATATATTCAGTGCCACTAAAGATATTCTATCGAAGTTGGGTCCATAAAGATTTAGTCTCTTTAAGAATAATTTTGGGACATTACAAAAGTTTTCTTATTTCTTTAACTTTGTACTCAATCAAACTACATTATATAAATTGCAGCGAAGAAATATATAATTTAGAATTAGCATGTTACCTTCAGAATTAGAGACGATGAATATAGAAAGTCATCATATATCACTACAACAAAAACAACTTTTAGCGGCATCAAATATTGATACTAATAAAGAGTGCTAAAGTCCTTACGGGCATTAGTTAAGTGTCATTAGAACCAATGTCGCTAAAGGCTTTAGGGTCATATGCAACGAGTGACAATTGCCACTAAAAATATATTTTTAGCGGCAATTAAGAATTAAATACCGCGAATAATTATTTTTATTGTAGTGTATAAATACGTTTATTAACTAGACATAATACACGTAGGACATCATGTAGCAGGATGCAAATTCACCCGTAATACGCTATAGACACATATTTATGCTTATTGAAGTGTCTGTTTGTCTACAATCAAAGTAGAAAGACATAAATGCAAGGTAAAGCTAACTTAAACGGCATATTTATCTATTATTATGTCATTTCAAACTAGAGAAGGGTGTCTTACAGCTCCAGAAATAGAAGAAATGGAGATGGAGAAGGAGAAGAGGATGATCATGAGATGTAACCACATTTGGTTAGCTTGAGCTACTCCCATGGCTGGTTCTTTTGTTCTCCTTCTGTCTATAGTTAATTACTAGTTGTTTCTTTCTCTAGCTGAAAATTAAGTGAGAGGATAAAGGAAAATATGATGTAAAGATAGTAGGAGTGATTGTATGGTAATATACCTATAGTTTATTTATATTGATGGATCAATGTCTGGAGGGGGGAATATTATTATATTATATGGTATTGGAATTAAGTGGATGAATTAAGTAAGAAATGTGATTCATGGCGGCTCTTAGCTTGAAGTGCAAATTGGATGAAAATAAATTAAGAAAATATGAGTCATGGGCGGCTACCTCCACCATTCTGCGAGTAGTATATATACATGATTTGCGGATGATTTTTTCAAGTTATCTGGTTGATAGTACCATGTAGATCAAATATGGATAAAAAAATTATTTATAAAGTAAATTCGTGATAATAGAATGTTATCTTAATATAGTATAAGTGTGACTTTAAATTTTGAACATAGATTGGAAGGTGTTTATGCATTTTCCCTTTTTTTAAAATTATAATATTGCTGATATGACCATGTACATTTTTAGTAAATAGCCAAAGAACAAATGTCAATCAAGTGTTTAAAATTTATAAACTTTACCTTTGATACCGTTGAGATTATTTTTTTTAGAAATTGAAAAGTAGCATCTTGGTGGGTATATGAATGGCAAGTAGTGTCAATCATGATGTATTTGAATTCGTTTTTCCGATATATATATATATATATATATATATATATATATATATATATATATATATAAAGGTCAAATATTTTATTTGCAATCACCAAGTTGTCATGTTTATTTACTAATATATCTTTACAAATATAGTATATTTTTTTTTGTTTTTGTTTTACTTTGTAGCACATAGTGCCTTTTAATCAACAAATGATCAATATAATAGAATGGTGCATGCATGCATGTTTCTCTCTCATGGCGGCTTCTATATACATTTTTAGGATAAAGAGGAAAGTGCGCACATTATAATGGAATGAAGTCAATAATTTTACCTTGCAAATCGAGTTAGCCGCCACTAGTTATAGTATTTTTACTAAAATTTATTCTTCCACTAGGACTAGTGCCATATTTTTTGACCCTAAAACTCTCAATATGATACTATTGTCCCTTGTGATACAATCTATAAATTAAACTATCATACTATATCACTCCTATCTGTCTAAAAAGCATTCCCCTTTTTTCCTCACATTTTCTCTAACAATTAAACAACATAACTAGACTTAAGGAGAGTTCAAGTAGCCATGGGAGTAGCACAAATTAACCAATTCTGGTTCTATGTCATGATCCTTCTCTTGTCCATCTCCGTTTCTTCTATTTCTAGCTCTGTAAGTCAATGTCTAATTCTAACCTTATATATACATTCTTAATCCAAAATTCAAATTCTTGACTTGCTACTCCTGTGTCTCATATTAGTTGATCATTTTTCATTTTACACTTATACTAAGAAATCATAAATAAGAAGGTATGCTAATTCACCTCTTAAAAAACTTCATGGAAATTATACTAGTTAAACAAATGTAAATATTTTCAAAAAGAATTAATTGTAAGAGTAATGATTCTTTGATTTAATAAGTTGCACAACTAATTTGGGACAACTGTGATTAACTAAAATGAGTATACTACAATACCCTTGTGTTATTGTTGAATTGATGGGTAATTGATGCAGGAATCAAATTGTGTATACTCAGTTTACGTTCGGACAGGGCAATTCTTTGGGTCTGGAACTGACTCCAAAATAATCTTAACTCTCTATGATGCGGATGGATATGGACTTAGAATCAACAATCTACAAGCATGGGGTGGGCTTATGGGCGAAGGTTACGACTACTTTGAAAGGGACAATTTGGATATGTTTACGGGTCGTGGTCCATGTTTGAATGGTCCAATCTGTAAAATGAACTTGACTTCAGATGGTACAGGCCAACACCCTGGATGGTACTGTAATTACGTTGAAGTTACCTCTACAGCAGAGCACAAACGATGCAACCAGCAGTTGTTTACAGTCGAGAATTGGCTTGGTGCTGATGTTTTCCCAGATGGGCTAACGGCCATTAAGAACAACTGTGGCCGTAAGTCCGAAGAGCAATTGTCTATTTACGATTCTCAGTCCTATCATGTTGTTGATGTTATTTAATATGAGCTTATAGAGGGTTGTTGAGCCAGGCTCAGAATTTCGCTCATTCTGTCTCTCTATTTTTTTTCCCTTTTCCCTTTTTCCAATTCGAATACATCACACATTGTGAATAATTTACATATTGATCTGATATTGTATGTATTGTGGATGAGATAAAATGGTGATATTTTTTCTACATTGAAAATGAACGAATCAGTGTATGTACATGTACATTGATATATAGATGTAACTGACTAATCTATATCTTACAATGACTAATTAATGCTAACAGATTAGCTAACTAAACTAACTATCAACAACTAGCTAATTAATCTAGTAAACATGTGTTAGTGATTACATGACTCCTACAATACTCCCCCTCAAACAGTGTAATGAGAACAGGGAATTCCCAGTTTGCCCGATAGAAACTCATGCTGTGTTTTCCCCAAGCTCTTTGTTAAAATGTTGGCGTGTTGTAGTGTAGTGTTAACATGTTCAGACGCACCTACCCCTTTTGTATTGTTTCTCAAATAAAGTGATAATCAATCTCTATATATTTGGTCCTTCATGATATATTTGATTTTCTTCAATCTGCCTTACTGCCTTACCTTCACAGTATAGTGTCACAGAAAGTTGTAATTTCAACCCCAACCCCACTTGTTCAAATAACCCAATTGTCCATACGATTTCTGCAACTGCATTTGCCATACTTCTATACTCAGCTTCTGCTGAGCTTCTTGAGACTGCTTCTTAGTCTTCCAAGAGATCTGTGACTTTCCCAGCTTCACTATAAACCTACTGAATGACCATCTGCTCATAGGACAAGTTCCCTAATTAGCATCACAATATGATGATAGTTGTGTTGAGTCTTCTGATGACTGTAGGATCCAAAGTCCTGGAGAATTCTTCAAGTATCTTACCACTTTAAAAGCTGCCTCCATGTGAGACTTCTCGTGATTGTGCATAACCTGGCTCAGGTTCTGTATGGTAAAGTTAATGTCTGGTCTAGTCATTGCCAAATACAATAACTTGCCTACCAACTTTTGATAGCTTTCGATTTGCAAGTAATTAGTCATTTGTATCTCCTTCATGGCCCTTGGTCCTTGATTTTGAAATGATGAGGGAGGATAGATTTGGCTTCCTCTACATGGGTTGAACAAGAACTAGTGATGATCAGATCATCCACATAAACCAAAATCAAAACAACGTGAGCACCAACAGTCTTGGTAAAAAGGGAATAATCTTAAGACTTTGATGAAAACCAAATGCAATAAGAGCCTCAATATGCTTTAGGTTATATTGCATAGGTGCTTGTTTGAAACCATAGAGAGATTTGTCGAATCTACATACAAGAGAAGACTCCTCTGCTTCAAAAGATCAGGTGGGGGATCATGTATACTTCTTCAAGGAGATCTACCTGCAAAAATGCATTAAAAGCATCCATCTTATTCAACTTCCACCCCTTTCTTGCAGTCATGGTCAATACTAGAAAAGTGCAAATTACATGGGGATATTACCTAGGGAATATTATTGCAAGCAATATTTGCAGATTTTCTTGCGAAAATCTTAAATTCCACAAATTAAAATATATTATCTGCAAAAAGTATTTTCCCAACAAATTTTGCATGTAAACTTAGTGTCATTTTTTATAAAGGCATAATACATATATTGGACCTTAAACTTGGTTTCAAATTTTAACTTTGACTTTCAACTTTCATGATGCACAAACAGACACTTTAACTATCCAACTCTTAAATAAATAAACACACGAGTCCTACATGACACAATACACGTAGGATACCACGTAGGATAAAAAAAATGACATGTAGGACATGTGTGTCTATTTTGTCCAACTTTATACAAGTTTAAGTGTCTATTTGTGCATATCCAAAATTGAAGAGCATAAATGTGATTTGAAGTCAAGTTAAAAGGCATATTTATGTATTATCCCTTTTATAAAATTAGTACCTATGATATTACCAAGGGAAACATATCCGTGGAAACAATATCTCTAGGTAAATCCCTAGGTACATGAACCAAAAAAATAATTTAGAAAATCCTTTTTAATCTGTACGAAAATTTCAAGTTATGTGAAAAATTATTTTTTATAATTTACCTAGGCATTTTATTTTCTTGGGAAATAATTGGGGAGTTAGGAATAATTAGACCAATTATCTTTTAGATGGTTGAATTCTTTTACACTTACAATTAAAAACTCATTTAAAACATTACAAATTGACAAATTAAAAATTCATTTTCCTTTCTCTCTAAGTCTCGTCTCATTTACCCAAAACCAGCAAGCTAGAAGCTTTCTTCAAAACTAACATGGGACTTTTTAAAAAAAAAGTAACACTAAGGTTTCAAAATAAATGGGTGGTGACATAAGTCTTAAGTATTGGCTATATGTGACAATTATGTGATTAATGATTAAGGATTGTGGAGTTGCCCACAAGTTTATAAGTTGATAGTTTGATCCATTAAATTAAATGAAGGATAAATAGGTAAATTGACTAAAACCTAATTTACCCAATTTTGGTGGGAATTTAATTGGTGGAAGACATCAGCAAGCTGTAGCAAAAGGAAAAATAACATATTTTCCCCCCACCTCTCGTCGTTTTCTTCTTCTCCCCTCTTCTTCTTTTTATTCTTCTTCTTTGCTTGACTTTCTTCCCATTCTCTTTATCTTTTCGTACATTATTGGTCTTGATTGCTAGTCCTTGAGCTTTCTTCTTTTCTTCTCCTTGAATCAGATTTAACTAATCTAATCAATGGATCAGATTTTGTTTTGTATCAATTGGAATTACTTCATAAATGATTGGTGTGTCACACCATTGTTTTGCTATGTAAAATTAATAGTTCTTTGAAATCATTAATCATCATTTGGGTACCTGCAATTTTTCTAATAATTTGCATTCACATTTCCAAAAGATTGATATATGTTGCAACAATGGACTATTGAAACAAATTATAGCCATATTTAGCAAAAGAAAGGTTATTTCAGTAGCAACAGAATACACATATGTTGCAACATATAACTTACACAACCTGCAACATATAACTTAGACATGTAGCAACATATGACTTACACGTTGCAACTAACATGATAGTTATATAACACCCTTGTAAATTATTATTTCAAGTGTTATAACATATTTTTATTACTTAATCATGGTTCAAAGTACTAAAATTTTGTCCAATTTAACATTTTTTCATTACTAAATCACTCAATTTATCGATTAAGCCATCCTTGAAGTGACATATGTGGAAACCTATGCATTTTCTGTTGGAAAATTGCAATAAAAGTGTCATATGTGGCTACAAATATATAGCATAAAATGATCTTTTGGGGGGTTGATTCAATTAAATTGTTACATAATGCAACATGTAACACTAATATATAGTCCTACAACATGTCTAAGTACATAATTATGGTCTAATACAACAACCTTCATCAGTTCTATCAATTATTTTTACAAAGACTATCATACCACTAATTCATCGTACAATGACCAAGTAACTACATATGTAGTTATATTACACCATTGTAAATCGTTGTTTCAATTGTTATAACTTATTTTTATTGCATAATTATGGTCCAAAGTACAAAACTTTGGTCTTATTCGACATTTTTCCATTCTAAATCTCCCAATTTATCGAATATGCCATCATTGAAATGACATGTGAATACATATGCACGTTTTGTTGGAAAAATTACAACAGAAATGTCATATGTGGCAACATATGTATATCATAAAATGGTCTTTGAGGGGTTAATTCAATTAAATTGTCACTTAATTCAACATGTAACACTAATATAGTCATACAACATGACTAAGTACAAAATTATAATCTAATATAACAACCTTCCTCAATTCTATTAATTATTTTTACAAAGATTATCATATCACTAGTTCATCGTACGAGTAACTTCATATGATAGTTGTAGAACACCCTTGTAAATCGTTCTTTCAAGTGTTATAGCATAATTTAATTGCTTAATTATGGTTGAAAGTACTCAATTTGGTCCAATTTGACATTTTTCCATTCCTAAATAATTCAATTTATCAATTAAGTCATTCTTAAAGTGCCATATGTGGTAACATATGCATGTTCTGTTGGAAAAATTGCAACAGATATGTCATATGTGACAACATATGTATATCATAAAATGGCCTTTTTGGGGTTAATTCGATTAAATTGTCACGTAATTCAACATGTAACACTAATATATAGTCCTACAACATGTCTAAGTATAAAAATATGGTATAATACAACAACTTTCATCAATTTTATCAATTATTTTTACAAAGACTATCATACCACTACTTTATCATACACAAATCAAGTAACTTCATATGATAGTTATATAACACCCATATAAATCGTTGTTCCAATTGTTATAACATATTTTTTTATTTAACTATGGTCCGAAGTACTAAAATTTGGTCCAATTTGATATTATTTCATTCCTAAATCGCTTAATTTATCGATTAAGTCAACCTTGAAGTGACATATGTGGCAACATATGCACATTACGTTGGAAAAATTGCAACAGATATGTCATATGTAGCAACATATGTATATATTCTAAAATGTGTCTTTTGGGGTTAATTTAATTAAATTGTTACATTATTCAACATGTAACACTAGTATATAGTCATACAACATCTCCAAGTATATAGTTATAGTCTTAAAAACAACCTTCATTAATTTTATCAATTATTTTTACAAAAACTATCATACTTTAGTTCATCTTACCATCAAATGATACTTATATAACACCCTTGTAAATAATTGCTCCAAATATTGAAACATATATTTTTTTACTTAATTATGGTTCAATTTACTAAAATTTTGTCCAATTTGATATTTTTAAATTTCTAAATCACTCAATCTATCGATTAACCCATCCCTGAAACGTTATTCGTGGCAACATATGCACGTTCTGTTTGAAAAATTGCAACATACATGTCATATGTGGCAACATATATCCTATATGTTGGAGCACATGTAAATAACTTTGTGGTGTTTTTTAGAGTAGAAGTTATATATGTTGTCGCATACACCACATTTCTTTATTAATTGACACTTATTCAAACAAAATAATAATAATAATAATAATAATAATAATAATAATAATAATAATAATAGTAATGATAATAATAATAATAATCATTGTTCATTTTTACCGATAATAATAATAAT